AAAAAAAAAAAAGGAAACAGGGAAATGACAAAAAGATTACCTCGTCGCATTCCATTCTTTTAGTGTCTCCTATTTTTAAACTTTCAAGATCAACATTAGTTCCTAGAGGCCGAACACGAGGGGTACAACTTTGGGATTCATGGTTAGAATTTTCATTCATTGGAAAAAGCTAAAAGAGTAATATTTTATCAACGTGGCAATGGTAAAGCTCTTCAAAAAACATTTGCCAGCTTATGGTATAAACAACTGATAAACTCACTTTAGCAGGCAAATTCTGCACTTATGACAAGTGACCCGGGGAAAAAAAATTGAGTCAAAAAAAAATGTTTGCGGAACGAAATTAAGTGAAAAAAAAAATCAAATGAAACAATAGTAGAAGAACATTCAAAACATTTAGTTTATCAGACTATCATACTTTCACAATTCTGTAGTCATTAACGAATGCCGTAGTTGAAGAAAACAAACTAAAGTCAGCCGCAGTAAACAAGATTACGAATAGAATAAAAACACTACCGATGACCGTTTGAAATTGCAATCAATCGAATCTGCTCCGGTACATTAAACTCATCCTACCAACCTCAAGCAAAATCACCTAATCATACTTCAATTTTTAACCGCTTCTATCAAATCCATATCAACATTGTTATTAGTCGAAACACTATACTATTCAAAAAATTACGTATTCCTCTCTTATGTCAATCATGAACAAGTTTCAGGCTCAAAAAAACTCTCAACTAACCATATTATTATGACCAAAACTAAAAAACTACCACTAATTATAAAAAAATAAAACGACTAAAAAACTAAAAAGCTGTACTAAACGCATCGGATCTAAATTTTTAAGCTTCACGAATCAAATTCATAGAACTACAAAACAAATAGCCTATTTAACAATTTATAACAAACCTCCTCAACAGTATTGCCTCGAACATATCCGGGTTTTATAACATTTCCATTGAGTGAAACATGTCGCACTGATTCTCTTGGTGGGCTACTACAGCTAAAGTTAGTTAAAAAACAAAAAACCAATTGAATTTTGAAACTTAATATAATATACTTATAGGTAGAAAGTTGACGACAGCCCTCAGT